TAAACTTGACGAGGCTGTTCTAATTACTAATAAAGCAAGGATTGTCAGCATGATGGGAATGATTGAGAGTAAGTTGTAATGAATCAGATTAAATCTCAGTGTGGAATTATGACTTATAATTGCTCCTATACTAATGTTTTGAAATTAATGTGGTTTGTCTTTAACAGATGTTTCAACATACCATAGATTGTGTCCTCAGTGCCACATGGTGTACAGATACCAGGAGTGGACGGATGGGCTTCATAACTTTGACAACCACATCGTTTTATCTCTTGAACTCTGCCTTTTTCTGAGAGAAAATTTACAGGTGAGGATCACAAATAAATTGTACTCATCTGATGATTTCTTAAAATGTGTTTGTGTGTGTGAGTATGGTATGTTGTTGTATGCATACATTTGTGCCTAAATTTAAATATCTGTCTAATCACAATCTTCAATCTATTGTCATATTTCAGAACCATGTATCCGTGTCAAGGGTCATTGACTCATTGGAGGGCTTAAGAAGGGTGAAGTTTCCTTCTAGGGATATCATATTTCATGGTTATTGCCATTTTGAGGCTTTGACTGACACAGATTACATGTACTCCTGCATAAACTGTGGATTTCACCCCCCTGTGGTAGTTATGGACTTACACAGAAAAGGGGTGTTCAACTTAGCAGGTAAGTTTTATGTACATTTGTGTTTATAGTTCATGGAGTACGTACATGTTCCTGACTAGTCATTGTTATTATAGTGAGTGACCTCAAAGCCCCCCCTGAAGACTTCAGTGGTGAACATGACATTGAAGGTTTTTGGAGCTCTATTCACCTGGAGATGATAAGCCGTGAGTTTTTTCCAAGTAAGTGATGGCAAAAACTTATTTACAGTCATTCAGTGTTTTAACGTAATTTAGACTGTAAATAAAAACATACCATTTTTCTGTAGGCAGCGTGAAGAATCCATTTTCAGTTCCACCAACTTACACGCACTGGGCACCATGGATCGGGAGTGAAACTCGAAAGAGTGACATTGTGCTTAACACTGAGTTTAAAAAAGTAAGAACAAGCAGTTCACATGAAGCACAGCTTAGCAGTGTTACAGAGGAGCGTCTGTTTGATGAACTCACCAAACAAAAGGTAACATTGCTTTGAAGTTTTTAGAATATGTACAATAAAGCTCAGTGGTTGTTCCATTTACAGTTTTCCCTAATTACTGTCAGGTTGGAGTGGTGAGAAAATTGTGCAAAGCCTGCAACATCGACTCCAAAGGCTCCCGCTTTGATCTCATCACCAGACTGAGGGAGAAGATGAAGAGCAGGCAGACATATGATAAGGTCTTTCAAAGCATATGGGGTGCCTCTGGTAAGTATCACTTAGTGATTATAAGAAGTAGCATTAAATTATTGATTTACAATCACAGACACCTTGTTTAATCTTTTCTCGCAGGTGGATGGTCTGTAATACTATGTCCGCATGGCATTGTATACAGTATTAAATTTAATCTTCGTGCTGAAAGTCCCAGGGATTTTGCTGACCTTCTCCTGTCCTGGAAGCACATACCAAACATCTGCGTGTATGATTTTGCGAGGGGTTTGGTGGCACACACCAACTTGCGGGTTCCAAATCGAGTGCCATTTCATCCACATGAAGGTCGACTGGCTGAGCCCACTGAGGAAAATGTCAAGGCTGCACGGGATGGAAAATTGCGAGTGAATCTTCCATGGCTACATGAAAGGATGGACAGTGTAAATGAAAATCCTCATCCTATCACTGGATCATCCGACCATCATGTCCTGTATGACAGATTTCATGAGGGAAATACAAAAGATCCCAAGGACATATTACGTAGAATTCAACTTGTCCCAGAGCTGAAAGGTTGGCTGAACAGTCAAGTTGTTGAACAGTTCTTTGCAAGCATGAGGAAAAATAATTACTTTTTAAATAATATGAGTCCATCCACACATGTGTTTTTGATGAGAAATATAATTCATCATCATAACACTGTCACCAACAAGAAACTTCTGGAGAGGCAGTTAAGACATGGTCGACTTGGACAGATCAATATCTCATTGTCTGCACTGGGTCAAGCTGTCGTAGGTAAATGATACATGGATTTTCACAAGACCAGAAAGCTGTCATTGTTCACGGATTACATTTGTTCCTCACTGTGTGTATATTGCTGTTTTCTTTGTGTCCCTAGCCCTACAGTGCAGTAAACCCAGAGAAACCACAGAAACTGTGTTGAACCAAGCACCTTCAATTTCTGGTAACACTGGTACAATTTCTTATTTTGAATAGTGTTTGTTATATATAGGTGAAATGACAATCTTGCTCATAACAGATTTCCTTACCTGCTGTTTTAAATGCATTCCCTTATATAAATAGTGCTTGTTTTTCTTGCATGTGTATTCTTTAATATGCATTCTATGTAGTGTTTTGTATAAAACCTGTGGAAATCCCTATAGAACCTCTGGTACCAGTTGACGACAAGAAAAGCAATAGAACGTCAACAGATGCAACTCTTCCTGACCTGTGTGGACCACCGTGTAAAGCTCTGACAAAGCCTGAGAACATTTTGGCCAGCCGTTCATCGTGGTCTTTTGTACTGCACCCTGGTCAACAGCAGCTTGTATGTTAAAGTTTGAGTTTTCACATGTCACAAAGTAGTACTTTTAGTGCTTATTTGCTTTTCTCATCCACAGTGTATGATACTTATCTTTTTTTTAGCTCAACTATGTTCTGGACATCAGCAGACCCAAAGATGAGCTGATTGTTGAAACGTCTACTGGATGTCTCACACGGGCTGATTTTTGGACACTGGGTTTAAACGAACAAATGGAATCTACAGTAAGTATTTTTTATTTGGTCTGTAAATGTATAATAATAAAGTGTACATTAATTTTTAATCTATTTTTTTCAGGTTGGGAATGGCTGTTTTGAGCTTATCACCAAAATTGTTCAGTCAAAGGTACTGTGTGTTTGTATATGAAGATTTTTAAGCTTTATTTTAAAGAGTGGTTGTTTTAAATGTGCTATTTCACATTTTCTAGGGGATAAGCATTTACATTGAAAATCTTTATGTCACCCGGACTTGGCTTGCACCCTATGGCTGTGATCCATTGCAGTCCGTTCCTGTAAGTGTACCATCCTTTAAAAAAAAACAAGTGATCATAATGAATTTTTATAGAAATTTAGCAAGAGTTTATATACTGAATACTTAAAAATATGATTCTGTTTCAGACTGATGCTCAGTGGATGGACATCATAGTTCTCCCTCTCTGGACACCTGGCCATTTCCAGTTGTGTGTAAGTCTTATTTTTTGCCACATACTAAAATTTTGCTGTGTGTCTGTGATCTATTACATTTAGATGACACATTTTCAAAAGTATTTCTTTACTGTATTTTTTATGATCTCTTGCAATGACATTGTTTGCAAGTTTGAAGTCCTGAGCAACTGTCTTTTAGGTACTGAAGCCACGTAAAAGAGAAATCCTCTTTCTTGACCCATTAAACACAAAGGCAGGATTTGGTGGCCAACAATATGTTTCACTTTTGAGGTCACATTTTTATAAGCTTGTTTGGTTTGTTCCAGAGTTTTCAGGAACCTGTTCAGTGTTCCAGGTTAAGTGCATCCCAGATCATGTTCTATTGATCTAGAGTGTTCACACATACAGTACATTCACATGCTTGCTTATAAACTATATCAGCAGGATGCATCACCTCTTGATTCTTTTTCTCATCTTCACATTCTGTTCAAATCAATGATGCTGTCTTTAGATGAGTTTCACACATTAATTGGCTTTTCAAAATCTTCTAGTGTTTAACATAAAACAAAAATCAGTTTATAAATTATGCCAACCTGAAAATAAAACTGAAATTGCTATGTATGACACACTTTAACCAACTGCGAGCATGTGACTGTACTTTTACATTTTGTTGTGTCCAGGCCGTGTTCCTAAGGCCGTGTTCCTAAGGCCGTGTTCCTAAGGCCGTGTTCCTAAGGCCGTGTTCCTAAGGCCGTGTTCCTAAGGCCGTGTTC